ATTAATTAACAAACGGAGACGTAACAATATACATACATGTATGCACTACTGAAATAACATGTTAGCATGATCCATTCTTATGGGGTGCTTTTCCATAAATAGCTTTACAGCTTACATGCATTTCAACGTTGATAGCAGTGTCATGATAATTATGTATTAAAGTTAGAGTACTCAGTCTTTCTTGTTTTGTGTACACCTAGGGCCAAATAGGGAGGGGGACAGGAGCCATTTTGCACGGGCCTCAAGCTCAAAGGGGGGCTCCAATTTAGACACCTGTATTTTTTTTATTTGTAATGTGCCTCCCAATCACACTAAAATGTGACACACACTCCCAGCTTAGAACTGCAAATTATATATACAAATTAAATATTCAAATTGTTTTTCACTTTCCTTTTGGGCTTATGAATTCATATTTTGTTTTCATGTATTATCCTTTTTTATTTTAGGCATGGGCCTCAAAAGATAAAGTGGTCCAGACATCTCTGGATCTCTGAGAGGGCCTGTGTACACCTTAGGTAATTATTCATCTGGCTTAGAGCAGATGCCGAATGTTCCATTAACATGAACTTAGTGGCAGTGTGGCAGTTTCTGTAAGACAAAGTTATTTGGTACACATTGAAGTACGCTTGCAGTCAACCAGTATCTGGGACCTGTTCTGGAAAGGTAACGAAAGCCATCTTGTCTTTCATCGATGAAGTTCTTCATCAAAAATAACAGGATTTGGGAAATATTCCTTGTAGAAATCTATAGTCTGTCTATATGAGTTTTGATGGCATAAGTTTTTGAATTGATGCTACTTACTTTACATGTGCATCAAATCTGGAGGAAAGATTGCTGTTAATGAGGTCAAGAAAAAGAATGCTTACTGTGTTCTTAAAGTTTGCTTACTGTGTTCTTAAAGTTGGGCTTGTCATTGACTAGCTCGTGGCATGCTAACTTTAATATTAGATTTGCTTGCAATATCACTATTGTGCTTGAAGATATGGTATGAATAATCATATACGTTCACTCTTAGTGAAGTCAGTTCTTTACAGCATTCTTCTATTAGGGAAACATCAAAAAATAAAATAGGGAATTCGGCAGAAACCCCCCCCCCCCCCGTCGTACGTACGTGCGTGGCAACGTTCTATTGACGAACTAAATAAAAGTGTAAGTGCGAAAATTTTTAATAACTAGGTAAAAGAAAATGTAAAGCGTTCATCTTACTAATTAAAGTATAGATTTTCTTATCACAACAGTATAACAAACTGACTAGAAATATGTAATGTCACAAATTAATACAAAGGAAGACTAAAGTGACAATTATTAGAGAGTGTTGAGTCTTCAGTTACGTGATATCGGTGTTATTGATACTTTTATCATAATCGAATTAACATCTCATGAGGTTCGGCCAGTATTTCATCATGTTTAGAGCTTGGTGGGTAAAACAAAATAGCGATATGTACGGCATACATGTAATTAATTACTGCCCTGAGAAAAGACAAAGAAATTATCGTTTTTACTAAACAATAACGTTTATACTTAAAGAGTAAGTATGCAAGTCGCCCAGAAGGTAGAATTGAACTACTCTGACGTCAATCAGCTACGGGTTTGAAGCCCGCACTCCGGACCACCGAAGATCATCTGGGCAATATAATATATCCTCTTTGTTATATATATAAAGATAAATTACAAGTACATTTATACGTTTGGTGTGAATGCTGAAACAGTTTAATAATTTAGAATTTTTCAAAATAATATAAGCAAACTAAAAGTTCAAATGAGTAAAGTAATTTTACTTTTGTTCTTATTAATATAGTTTAGCTCAGTATTAAAGAAATAAAATGTTATATACGTTTTAAAGCATTAATGAAGTCTTTACTATACATATTTTATTTTATTAACTGCAAGAGGAGTTCAACGACGTCTAGTAGTAAGTTTCTCAACCATGACACTTTCTTCTTCGAGAGTTTCTTTGTTTGTCGTCGAGTTTATACATGATGACGTGTAGAGAAGTATCTTATAAATGTTTGGAAAAACGAGTACTGTAGTTTAACGGTATATTTTTTATTGTAATGTGGCACAAAAAATTTATACTATAGAAGAGGTAGATATTTCGCACTTAATAAAAAAATATATTTGATTTGCCAATGACCAATATTCGCTATTCAAGATGGCGGATGATGATACTCACAACCATGCACATAACACCCTCGTGCTTAGTAGAAGTGTTGCAGCGGCGTGTGGAGGAAGTTCGAGTTGTGCCAGCTCTAATATTAATGCTACGCTAGAAAGTGATGGCTTGAGTAACCAAGTTCAACCTTCCGTTGAGGTTAGTACAGCTGACATTCTACAACAAGCTTTTCAAGAAGCGTCTGAAGAACTTGAACAAATTACCGTAACATATGAAAATGTACAAAATGCTGTTGGTATTGCAGACGTACATAATCAATTTTCGGGAAATGATGAACTCTCTGTTAGTGTTACTGTTAGAGACTCTTCTAACGTTGACCTTAATCGTGTTAATCCACAAAATGTTGAAAATGGTATTAGTATACCCAACGTGACTGATAATGTAGGGCTAATCAATAGACAAGATGTTAACAGTTGCAATAGTACTATTAATGACAAAAAAGAAACTAGTCCGAGTTTAGAAATAACAGCATTGCCACTTGGAAGTGAAATTCAAAATGTGAATTCCGTATGTTCAGATCTTGTTAACCAAATAGTAGCAGTTGATGGGACCACTGGAATGAGATTGATCAGCAGTGGTGATTTTCTAAGTACAAACAATCATAACGTTCAGCCTTATGATCTGCAGAGTTTCATTGTAGCAATTCCTGATGTGACTGATGGACTTACTGATAATATTTCTTTTGTAGCACCTGGTCTGTCAGAAAGTTCTTCTTTGGTTAGTCAACTTCCTGATGGTGTATCTGTTATTGCACAAGGGTTATCAGAAAATCAAACCACAGAATCCTTGTGTGATGTGTCATTTACAACAGTGCCTGCAAGTTCCATTTTTTCTACATGCAGTGCCAACAGTAGACTTATCAGTACAATATCAGGAACAACTAGCTTACCTCTACCAGTCTCAACTTCAGAGGCTTTCTCTGTTGTAACTCAGAGTTTGTCAGGAAATTCACAGACTATATCAGTGGTTCCACACAGTTCGGCACAACCTTTAAGTCTCTCTGTCACACAAGCAACTTTGCCAGATGTTGGCTTAAAGCAGATTCAGAGTTTTCCTGTTTCTGGAGGTTTGCAGAATGTGCAAAGTTTAGCTTTGCCAACAGTAACAGCTATTCAACAATTAGCTGGTCATGTAATCTTACCCTTACAAGCTACTAATGCCATCTCAAATGCAATTCATAGCTGCAGTCAAAATCGAGCAGTCCCCAGCACTTTGAATGGGACATCAGGTTTAATAGTCAATCATACTGGTACCTTGACAGTACCTGTGACTGTGACAGACAGTAGTAATAATTTTTCCAAAGATGTATATGTGGTCGATACTTCAGATAATGCACAGACTGTTGTTGGATCGACAGCTAATACAATGTCCTTGGCCATTAGGCCTTCAGTAACAACAAAACCAAATGTTCAGAAATTAACTGTTGCTTCAAAACTTGATTCTTGCCAGTCGTTAAATCCTAGTGTAAAAATTGTACAGGGGCTAAATCAAACAGCTGCCCAAGCATCCTTACAACCAAAGTCAAAAACTGCACCTTTAGGTTCGAGCGAAAATCCGATCCAGATAATACAACAGGGAAACACCTATCATTCAACTCAGGTACTAACACAAGAACAGTTACAACAGATTGCTCATGTGCTGCAGCAACAACAAATTTCCAAATCTTCAGAGAGTGGTAGTAGCTCAGTTCTTTATAATCCAGCCACAAACACTCGTATTATATATCGTGTTATTTACCCATCAGAGCTACAGACTAAGAGCAGTAGCAAAAAAGATGGTTCTATCAGAGGAGGAATAAAGAGAGGGAGGGGTAGACCAAGAAAAATATGGAGTGTTAAAAAGGTAACCCAAGATGAACCTGATGATGAAACACATGGCCAAGAAATTAGTCAGGAAGAGAAGGAACTAAAGAAAAAACACCGTCCACGTACAAGGTCTGGACGTATATCAAAACCTCCATCGTACATGGTCCAAGACTACAAAAGAATACATCACTTAGATTTTAATGAAGATCCTCATGATGATACTGATGGTGGCTATTCAGATTTTCAAATGAGTGATGAAGAGTCTGAAAACATGCATCAGGGACCAAAATATTTACCACCAGGTAATATTATGTACAGTTGCATGGTTGCATAAAAACATCATTTTTTGAAAATATATCATGCTATTAAAAAAGCTGAATCAAATAAAAATATAGTTATTGGTAAAATGAATGTTTTGTGAGGAATTGTTCAATAACTAACTTGTAAGATGGTAAATATTTACCAAAACTACTTAAAAGAATTGAGGTTTTAATTTTTTCAACTATGAGTTGGCTCCATTTTTTTAAGTAATTTGTTACACTGTTCAAAATATATTGCTCAACAACACACTGCTATTATATAACATGTATATGATACAAAAAGTGTGGTACAAGTATACTGAGTTAAATTTCAATATTTTTATATCAAAGGCAGAGTTTTATGAACTAAACATAAGTCTCAAAACATGCATATGTATTAAGACAATAGCCTTATTTCTGGTGTTTGTGTGTAACTTAAGGAAGTTTTTTTGTTTTTTTTTACAGTTAAAGCTAAAAATAATTTAAAATGTCTGAAATAAATGTCAAATATTGGTCTCACAAAATGACTTGGTATTAAAATGTATAATGTTGTGGTAGAAATTGTATTATCAGGAACACGTGTACAGTGGGATATGACTGAGGCAGAGTATAATAACAAGCTACAACTGGTAATGTAATCTTCAGTTGGGTCAAGGTCACTTTTCCAACCAAGCCAAATTAAATGTAAACTCTGGACCTTTTAAGTTTTAAAAGATTTAAATGAGCAACAAATATTAAATCTTCTAACAGAGAAGCATTCTTTTCAAAGTAGAAACTTGGACATCCAGAGTTTTGCTCATCTTTCTAATGTTGTAAGCAAGATGACAGTAAATCAGTTAACCCTTAAGGTCACTTCAGTCTCTAAACAATCATAAAGACCATTACCCCAAGCAATGTGTAACCTATGATCTTTCTAACAAATCTGGAAAGGCACACATCACATTTTCAAGCAAATCAATCAATTAATTTACATTTTCAGTAGAGAAGTAACTTTGCCTGAGGACAAAATTGGTATCCAACACATTTACAGTTACCATCCAGATAATGATTGTCCATTAAAGACTTGCCTCTCTTTTTTTTGCTGCACCCAGTACTTGTAGGAAGTAATATACTGGTAAAACTGTTGTATTTTTTATTGCAGGTGTAAATACTGTTCGCCCTAGGACCCACAAGTGTAGCAGTTGTGATAAAGCTTACATTGGTCAAGGAGGATTGGCTCGCCACTATAGACAGTATCCCTCCCATGGCAAGCTTCCCAACCCAGAGGAAAACAGTGTTTATGAGGGTAAGAATCCAGCATTTTTTTTCCATTCTCATATATGATAAAACTTTTAAAATTGCACAGAGAATTATGTAATATAACTCTTCTATAATGATAGTGTTGTGGTTTTCAAAGTATAACATTAGCATCTCAGATTAGCCTTAACCTTATGGGTTTCAAAGTATAGTTTAGCTGTTATATGTTATGCTTAGTATGGTTAGGGTTAATTAGTAAAGTTAGCATATATGTAAATTTTAACTGTGAGGAAAAGTAGTAATCATAAAATGGTCACAGGTAATTATTTAAACTAAATATAATTATGAGATGAGAGAATCTTGAAAAATAGTGGGAAATAATCTTATTTTATACCAACTAACATTGTCTAGTGTACCCTGTATATCAGTTTTAACCAACTTACATTGTCTAGTGTACCCTGTATATCAGTTTTAACCAACTTACACTGTGTAGTGTACCCTGAATCTTATTAAGCCACATACCATTATCTAGTGTACCCTGTATCACAATTTAAATCAACTAATACTGTCCAGTGTACTCCATATTACAAGTTAAACCAACTGACACTGTCCAGTGTACTCCATATCACAATTTAAACCAACTAATACTGTCCAGTGTACTCCATATTACAAGTTAAACCAACTGACACTGTCCAGTGTACTCCATATTACAATTTGAACCAATTAACACTGTCAAATGTACTCCATATTACAAGTTAAACCAACTGACACTGTCCAGTGTACTCCATATTACAATTTGAACCAATTAACACTGTCAAATGTACCCTGTGAATTCCTTTAGGACTTTGACAATGATAAGCTCTTTGAAATTAAAATTGAATAAAGCACCCACATCATGCAAGGTTTTTGTTAGGAAGTCAGAGGTCAAGAAAGTGACATTCTCTTTAATTTTTAGTAGGTCATTAGACAGTGGATAGATGCCTGAGATTTGGAGAGTTGCTTATTTTACTCCTATTTTTAAAGAGGGCGTTAAGAGTTTCCCTATGAAATATAGACCAGTTAGTCTTATTTCTGCAGTGGGAAAAGTTATAAAGAGAAAGTGAAAAAAGTTTTACAAAATCATTTAGTGAAATATATCATAAATAAATGAAGACCCATGTGGATTGATTAAAGGGGAATCTTGCCTTGCTACTCTGTTATACCTTTTTAGAGGATGTTGTTATCTAGATGAAAGAAGTTATATGGACTTGATGTATTTAGATTTTCAAAAATCTTTTGATAAGGTGTGATATATATATATA